AACTTGTGATTAAGTTTTAGTTGGCTTTAGAGTGTTGCCAAGACAGTATGTGATATAATCAAGAAGAACTTGGAGCTCCTTCGGGGTCTTCTTTCCTGCCTAGCTCTCTTGGATCTGCTCCAGGATTGTCAAACTCATAGCCAACAGGCCAGATATGTCATGCACTGGCCAAACCCATGCCTGGTTTAGCGAAGGGAAAAAAAGTCCTAATATGTCACATGACACCACCATGATGACGCAAGCTTCACACCCCTGGTCGACTCTTATTCTACAGATACAGATTAACAGAGTTGGAAGGAACCTTGTAGGTCATCTAGTCCAACCCTTCCACCCAAGCAGGAGACCCTACACCATTTCTGACAGGTGGCAATCCAATCTCTTCTTGAAAGCTTCCAGTGATGAAGCTCCCACAGCTTCTGTTCCATTATTCCATATCTGAAGGCTATCTAAGGGAAGTCAGTTCATGGAGGGCTGTTCATGTGGTATGTCAGGTTTCGATATCGTCTCAAATAAAATAAATTGCATTTCCAAACAGATAGTCTTTGAAGAAATCTTTCATTTTATTAAGCACGACAATCTGCCCCCGATCATGGCGTAGCCAACTCTGACTTCCTGACCCCAAACCTTCCCTTTCCGTTCCCCAAATCTCTGCGTCTCATTGGCCTTCTTCCAAATCACTCTCCCCATATCTACTACTTAAGCTCCCAGGAATGTCCCCCCTCCCTCTCATCTCCTAGGGAATATTATCTTCAAGGAAAATAAGTAGGTGAAATCTCAAGCGTCCTCTTGCCAGCTGCCCCCTCTTCTCCTTCTTATGTCAGCACTAGAGTAAATACAGGTTGACGTGCTGACATGATATAATAATGTTAAAAAGAGACTATGAAGGAAGAGGATCGAGAATGACCCATGATTTCTTGGTGAACGGAGGTTCTTAAATTGCATTATCAATGGAGGTTAGTAGTCCATATGAAATATTTGCCCTGCTCAGCAAAAGACTAATTTTGCTGTTGTAACATCAGAGAATTGGATACTGTTCCACTAATCCAGCTGTTGGATTTTGGACAGCAATGTTGCTGCTTTTCTTGCCATGTAAGTTTTGCTTGGTCAAGCATCCAGAACCGATGAAATATGGTATAACAATCAGAACACACATATCAAATGCTTTTGTCTTCTTCCAGTGAATGTGAAATGGCTTTTGGGTTGGATAGTGGTGAAGTGCTAATGTTCTTCTCCCTTCTTTGCTATACCTGTTTATATCTTGTTCCTCATTTATAATCTCCATTGGGCACAAGGATTTCAGTGTTTACTACATGTTGATTGTAGTAATAGTTGTGCCGGCATCCCAATGCTTGGGCTGATTAATATTGCATTGGCCAACTCTCAATAACAAGCTGGTTGTTATCTCTCCCTCCAATGACAGTGGTCAATCAGCAAAGCTCCAGCAAATTGCATCAGCCCAGCTGGCTTTTATATGTCATTCATTTGCTTCTAGGGCTCCAAAATACTTGTGCGTATAAAACAAGGAAGGAGCAATAGCCTTGAAACAGTAGATGTTGGTAGGAAATGCTAGCATCTCAGTTCTTCTTGGCTGTAGAGTGGACTTGCAATGAAAAATAATTGAATGGCAATGAAATATTTATTTTTGGCTGCTGCTCAATAACTGGGTTGGTGTCAAAGTTAACATGAATCAGTACAGCCATTGTTTATACAGAGCTTAAAGGTATATCACCATGATGGCGAACCTATGGCCTGTGTGCCACAGGTGGCACGTGGAACTATATCTGTGGGCATGCGAGGGTTGCCCTAGCTCAGCTCCAGTGTGCATGTGCGTGCCAGCCAGCTGATTTTTGGGCCTTCCGGGCCCACTGGAAGTCAAGAAATGGGCCTCTGGAGGGCCTCCGGAGAGTGGGGAAAGCCATTTTTGCCCTCCCCAGGTTCCTAGAAAGCCTCTGGAGCCTGGGGAGGGCGAAAAACAGGCCTACCGGGCCCATTGGGCCATCACATGCCAAAAGCAAGGGGAATGTCACGCACGCACGCATGCGTGGGGGTGGGTGGGCATTGAATTATGGGTGTGGGCATGCGCATGCATACCCTCCCGCTCCCCCTGCTTTTGGCACACGACGGCAAAAAGGTTAGCCATCGCTGGTATATCAGTTTCACACTGAGATTGATTCCAAGTGACTTCATGGGCCTGGGGACATAGTTCTCTTAGTTTGTAACCAGCTATTTCTGGGATATCCAGAAATATGCATTGTTGGGATTTTGATGTTTGCTAAGCTTGATGGGTTTCTTTTTCTTGCAAACATTTGTTTGCCTGTTAGGATGGTTGTCACGTGTTGATTGCTGGGTGTGCAATCAAGAACACTCTTAAGATGAAACAATACAGACAATCAAGCCAAATCAGAAACAGGTCCACAAAATATAAGACAGGTGGGAAAAGCTGCCCCACATAAACTACCAGCAATCACAGCTCTTATGTTAAAGCACTGATGTTATTATCTAATTTGGTAAGAAAACGTTTGCAAGGAGAAAACCAAGCTCAGCTAACAAAAGTCCCCAACATTTCAATTTCGAGCTACATACATTCCCCATTCATTTGTTTCCGTTACCCAGTCTAATGTGATGATGATGTTATCCATTCAGTCAGTGGTGAAATCCATTTTTTTTACTACTGGTCCTGTGGGCGTGGCTTGGTGGATGTGGTGTGGCTTGGTGGGCGTGGCTTGGTGGGCGTGGTGTGGCTTGGTGGGCGTGGCATGGGAAGGATACTGCAAAATCCCCATTCCCTCCCCACTCCAGTGGAAGGATACTGCAAAATCCCCATTCCCCCCCACTCCTGCAGGAAGGATATTGCAAAATCCCCATTCCCACCCCACTCTGGGACCATCCAGAGGTGGTATTTGCCAGTTCTCTGAACTGCTCAAAATTTCTGCAACCGGTTCTCCAGAACCTGTCAGAACCTGCTGGATTTCATCCCTTCATTCAGTCATGTTCAATTCTTGGTGATTCTGTGGGCCTGTCCTCCCCACATCTTCCAATCTTGCACTACTTTTGAGGTCATTATATGCTCTGGCTGGTGTTAGCTTTGATGGTGTCCAGCCACCGTATTCTTTAATGACCTGGTTTCCTTTACCACTAACTCTTCCTAGCATAATTGCTTTCTCCGGTGAATTCCCCTGCATGGCATGGGCAAAGCAAATAAGATGCAGTTTCGTGATTTGACTTCCAGTGACATGTCCAGTGTTATGTGCTCCAGTACCTGGTTGTTAGTCACCTTTGCTGTTCAAGGAATACACAGGCGCCTTCTCCTCCACCACAACTCAAACAAGTCAGCGTAATGTACAATACTCAAATGAGATTGTCTAATATGTAACGCTTGAATTTTTTGGTAGGCATCCATCCACATTCTAGTTAGGTACAATCCTGCCAGGGGTGGGATTCAGCCAGTTTGCACTTATTCGGGAGAACCTGTTGTTAACTTTCTAAGCAGTTCGGAGAACCGGTCATTAGAAAAAATCTTATTTTGTTTTTTTCCACTTTACAGGGCTAATCCTGTAAGGAAGGCAGGAAGGAAACATTCTGGTGTTATTTCTAGCCTAATCTTTATTGCCCTGCTTACAGAAACCGCCTCTCGGGTTAACCCTTATTACATTGTAACAGCTAAGGCAAAGCGCCTGGCGACCTGAGTGACGTTGAGTTGGCCATGCCCACACGGTCACATGGCCACCGAGCCACACCTACCCAGCTGGTCATTAGAGCAGAGAACCGGTTGTTAAATTATTTGAATCCCACCACTGAATCCTGCCTATCTTTTGAGCCCAAATGAAGCAAGTTTGCTGCAGTGGTTAAAGGCATTAGATTAGAAGGCAGGAAATCCTGAATTCTAATCTTAAATTAGGAACAAAAGCCAGCTGGGTAACTTTGGGCCACTCGTACACTCTCAGTTCTAGGAAAAAGGTAGTGTCAATCCATTTCTTAAATGTTGTCAAGAAAACTGCGTATATTTGATCACCAGAACTCAGGGTTGACTTGATAGATGACCATCACAATAGATATAGCTCTTATAGCATTTTGCAGCCTTCCTTTATGAAGAATGGGAAAGGGAAAAAAGGGACGAATGAGATGAATGGTGTGGAGCTCCTGAGATCTCCTTTTCAACTCTACTGGGTCCAGCACTTCTTGGATGCCTTTCAAAAATGGCCATTTCAAGAACCTCAGTTTAAGGTTTTATTTTTAAGGTTTTATGTTCTATTCTATTGATGAACTGGCTGAAACATCAGAACACTAGTTAAAATGAATTAGTTATGATAGCAGTGTTCCAGTATCTGAGGGGCTATCACAAAGAGGAGGGGGGGTCAGCCTATTTTCACCAGAACGCAAGACAAGAAACATGGATGGAAACTAACCAAGGAGAGAAGCAACCTGGAATTAGGGAGAAACTTTCCAACAGTGAGGACACTTAACCAGTGGCACACCTTGCCTCCTGAAGTTGCTCCATCACTGCAGGCTTTTAAGAAGAGACTGGACAGACACTTGTCTGGAATGGTATAGGGTCTCCTGCTTGATCAGGGGATTGGACTAGAAGACCTCCAAGGTCCCTTCCAACTCTGTTGTTCTGTTAATAGCCAAGCCTAGATTTGATCTAATAATTAATGCCAAACCAGCAGTAAAAGATGGCAAGTATTAGAAAGAGGCAAGATTTGAAGACACTCTGTTCAAGAATAAAATATAGCCCCAGTTACTTGGGCATTTGTACCAACTGCCCAGTGCAGATCAGCTAATGCAAGGGCTCCAGATCTAATTGTCTCATGGAACCAAGCATTAAAGATGAAGCCTTCCAAGTCCATAAGAATGCCAAAATAAAACCTTTTCTTTGCAGCTCTTCTATCAATTTGCAGTTGCTGGGAGGGGAACCACAGGAGAGATTAGAAAGCCAAAGGTTACTAAAATTATGGAAGAAAATGATTTTCCCCTTTCCCCTCCCCCTCTTCTCTCCTTAGGGCAGCAGTTGAAGCTCTGGCAGCTTTGTTGAAATCAAGTAAGCTTTTATACCCTTCTCTCTCTTTTTTTTTCTCCCTATACACTGTTTCCTGTCTGTGTACATAGAAATGCTCTCGTTTCTCCCCATCTCTTCCCTCCTTCATTCTAATTAGGATCACTCCTCAGCACACTGCAACAGGACACTGAGCCTGCAAAAATGCAGCACAGAGGACATGCGATACTTCGAACATGTCACACTATATTTACCTCACTTTAGGGTACAGTACACGAGTTATAAAGAAGGAAGAAGGTTGCCAAGCTGGCGACGCCACCTCTAAAAGGGCAGCATTTATAGTATAGTCATTTCTCAGGTCTACCAAACTGAGGAGAAATCCTTGGGATTTAGACAACCCCATGTGGGTGCTGTCGCAAAATGGCGGTTGCGACTAGTCATTTGTGACAGAAGTCAAGTTAAGGTTAATTCTTGGTTTAGCGCTTTCCCTTCTGCCAAGAGGTTCTCTACTTACACATGTCTTGTTTTCTTATTCCAACTCAAGCACTGAGATTTATCGCCCTTGTTTTGCTTTGCAAGAATGCCTATAGGACATAGGAGGGCTCGGGGGCATTTTTGTAAGTAGGGATGATGATAAGGAGGATGCTGTTAGAATAATTAATCTAGGGCAGGGAATTGTGCAAGCAGCAGCAATACGCTGTCTATTTGAACAGATTTCTGGCTTGAAACATACTTGAATTGTAAATTCTGCAAAATGTTTTCCTTCAGCATCTTTCAAATAAGGCTTCTAACTTAATTCCCCCAGTAATCTTTAACAGTGGGAATATGTGGAGTTCTTGTCCAAAAATAATTGGAGGTGCAAAGCTAGAAATATTGGAATGGTTCTTCTCTAAAAACTGTTCCAATATTAGTAGTTTTACAAAAAATGTATTTTCTAAGGATGATCCAGCCTCTGGCCCTAGAGAATAAAATGGAATGGAATGGAATGGGGAGTGGGGAGTGGAGTATAGAGTATAGAGTATAGAGTAGAGTAGAAGAGTAGAAGAGAGTAGAAGAGTAGAGTAAAGTAGAGTAGAGTAGAGTAGAGTAGAGTAGAGTAGAGAATTCTTTATTGGCTAAGTGTGACTGGACACACAATGAATTTGTCTCCAATGCATAAGCTCTCAGTGTTGATGTATACTGATGTGTACACTGATGTTGATGTACACCAATATTTGATGTACCAGACCCACTAAAAGGAGGGAGTGATGGATGTTTACATCACTGCTGCCACCACTAACCCAGTGGCATCTTTATGACTTCAAGGAGAGGTGAGATGACATTTTGGAAACCAGGGTATTGGCTTAGCAGCTTGTATAGATCTGTATTTTTTATTTTTGTGTGTGGGGGAGGAAAGGTTCCTGGTGGCAGAGAAGGAAAACTTTGGAGAATCACTGAACATTGCTAAGTTATAGTGACACTCAGCTGCAGCCTTATTTATTCAGGGTTTAAAGTATCTACAAAATGAAAGAACAGGCCCTTGCACAATCCCACACAAAGAATGAATGTTCCTGAAGCCAGTGTTATATCATCCCGTGTCTCTTTCTCCCATCCCAAAGCAACTTGGGCATTTATTACCAGAATTTAATAAAGCTTTGCTTCCAATCGAAGAATGCTTTTTCTTCATTAATCTTCCTGATGGTAAATCACAAGCCTGTGTTGTCCATTTCCACTGTCACCCACGGGTGTCCCCTCCTTTTCACTGCCCCAAATCCTTGCCCACACTTCGATGAGTCAAAGGAAACAAGCAGCCTAGAACTAAGGAGAATTTTCCTGATAGTGAGAACAACGAATCACTGAAACGACTTGGCTCCACGAGTTGTCGGTACTCCATCACTAGAGGTTTATAAGAAGAGATTGGACAACCATTTGTCTGAAATGGTATAGGGTTTCCTGCTTGACCAGAGGGTTGGACTAGAAGACCTTTAAGGTCTCTTCCAACTCCATTATTCTGTTATAAGCATTAGCATTTGAGTCAGGGGTGAAATCCAGCAGGTTCTGACAGGTTCACAAGAACTGGTAGCGGAAATTTTGAGTAGTTTGGAGAACCGGTGAATACCGCCTCTGGCTGGTCCCAGAGTGGGGTGGGAATGGAGATTTTGCAATATCCTCCCCTCAGGAGTGGGGAGGGAATGGGGATTTTGCAGTATCTTTCCCCTGCCATGCCCACCAAGCCACACCCACAGAACCGGTAGTAAAAAAAATTGAATTTCACCACTGATTTGAGTGCTTTTTGTGAAAGAAACCCAGAGCGATAGAAGTTGCTCTTTAAAATCTACTGATTGAAGTTCTCAATTCACAAATAATATGACAGCATCCATCTTCAAGCTGTATTGAAAGGTCAGATTATTACAATGAGGAAACGCCTCGATGGAGGTTTTAAATCTTAATCGGCCAACTCTGGTTCTCCCTTCACCTTTTAGAATGGAAATGAATATTAAGAAAAAGGAAATCAATGGGAACGGATTTTTTTTTTTAAAACCTTTCTCTTTTGCTCACCAGCTCCAGGGATCTGACATTTTTGAAGTAGCATTAAAGCAAAACCATTGAGAATGTAGGGTTTTTTTGTGGTTTTTTTTTTTTTTTTTGGATGAACAGTGTTACTGAGAGAGAGAGAGAAAAAACTCCTTTTCCAGTTTTTTTGGCAAGAGATATTCCTTGAGTAGATGGTCTTCTCTGACTTTATAATTCTCTTCTTTCATATTGACTCCAATTGCCCTCTCTTTTATGGTTAACCTAGATAATGCACAAGCTGTCATCCTGCTTCAGCTCCTAATTTAATGCAATATATTTAGTGCCCCGGTGTAATTTAGGATTAAGTAGTTGGAGTAATGCTTTCCTCTTTCTATTTCTTTTAAATAAATAAATAAACCCTCTTACCATTGTAGGAAGTTAGCACCCCCACCCCCAGAGGAATGAAATATTTTAGGAAATATTAAAAAGACAGAATGTTATGTTTCTCTGGATGAGAAAAGGAGAAACATGTTTTTAAAGACAAAACAGCTTCCTGCAGCTCCTTGCCCCCAACTTCAGCTCCAGGGTGATGGGATTAAGGCATGGCCCTCAGGACACGATAGGATTAGCCCTCTACACATCTAGCAACAGAACTCATCACATGGCACTTGGGGGGATTGCATCATCCAAATGTGGGACACAGATAGCCTACCAAGTTAGCTAAGACCCCCGCCCTGTGGTGAAATCCAATTTTTTTTACTACCGGTTCTGTGGGCATGGCTTGGTGGGCATGGCAGGGGAAGGATACTGCAAAATCTCCATTCCCTCCCCACTACTGGAGGAAGGATATTGCCAAATCTCCATTCCCTCCCCACTCCTGGGGGAAGGATATTACCAAATCTCCATTCCCACCCCACTCTGAGGCCAGCCAGAGGTGGTATTTGCCAGTTCTCTAAACTACTCAAAATTTCCACTACCGGTTCTCCAGAACCTGTCAGAACCTGCTGGATTTCACCCCCGCCCCCTCCCCCTGGGAGTCTGACTACCAATCAGAGTGCATTTTTTACACAGGAACAAGTGAACAATTCTTGAATTCAGCTCATCTGTCTGGAACCCGCACTGCATATCAGACATAAATACAATTGAGAGAGTCCAGAGATATTTTACGAAAAGAGTCCTCCATTCCTCTACCTGCAATAAAATACCTTATGACAACAGATCCAAATTTTGGGCTTAGACAAATTAAAACTACGCTGACTTCAGTCTGACCTAAGCATAGTACATAAAATTATCTGCCACAATGTCCTTCCTGTCAATGACTACTTCAGCTTCAACCACAAAAATACACGAGCAAATAATAGATACAAACTCAAAGTAAACCGCTCCAAACTCGATTGCAGAAAATACGACTTCAGCAACAGAGTGGTCAATGCCTGGAATGCACTACCTGACTCTGTAGTTTCTTCCCCAAACCCCCCCAAACTTTAACCTTAAACTGTCTACTGTTGACCTCACCCCATTCCTAAGAGGTCTGTAAGGGGCATGCATAAGTGCACCAGCATGCCTACCGTCCCTGTCCTAATATTCCTTTTTACTTACTCTTTTCATGAATTCAAATTAAGTTTATACTTTTTCTTATTATCTTATATACACTTGACAAAATAGATGAATAAAAGAAAAAGAGCCTTGGTAGTACAGTGGTTTAATGCACCCTGTTATTAACATAGCTGCCTGCAATTTCTGTAGGTTCGAATCTCTCCAAGGCTCAAGGTTGACTCAGCCTTCCATCCTTTCTAAGGTAGGTTAAATGAGGACCCAGTTTGTGGGGGCAATAGGCTGACTTTGTATAAATATACAAAAGGATGAAGGCTATTGCTTAACGCATTGTAAGCCGCCCTGAGTCTCCGGAGAAGGGCGGCATATAAATCAAATTAAAAAAATAAATAAAAATAAAATAAAAATAAAAATAAAAGAAGCTCTGGGGTGGGGCCCAGAGAGGGCATAAAACCAAGCCACTCTCAGCATCTCGGTCCTTTTTTCTTCACCCAACATCTTCAAGGCATGTGATAATTAAAACCATCTTTCCAAGCAGCCACCATGTTTCCAGCGTCTTTCTCCCCACTTGGAACTGAACTAGGAGTGGGTTCTATTTACCTTTACTACCGGTTCGCAACGGGGCCGCGTGCGCGCTCTCGCTTTGCTTGCATGCGCGTGCGCTCTTCTGTGCATGCGCAGAAGCGTTTTGATGACATCAGGGTCAGTGGGCGGAGCCTCCCGCCGGTTTTACTACCGGTTCTATAGAACCGGTGCGAACCGGGGGCAATCCACTACTGAACTGAACCCAGAAGGACATTTCTTCCAACAATATGAATAGGTAGCTTTACGGATTAAAAAAACAACAGCGCATTCCTCCATTCGCATCAGTGAAGTTTTGTAGCTATTTCCCCTCTATTTGAATTTAAAATAAAAATAAAAATAGGAAGAGTGTTCAATGCTACCCTATCATAACATAGGGAATCTCCATGGAGACCCTGCTGATTTAATGCAAGTTT